ATTTTTAGTAGAGACGGGGTTTCACCATGTTAGCCAGGATAGTCTCGATCTCCTGACCTCGTGATCCACCCGCCTTGGCCTCCCAAAGTGCTGGGATTACAGGCTTGAGCCACCGCGCCCGGCCTTAAATTTATTTTTACACTTACTGCCTGTGTTGCTGACATTTTCAGCCAGGTATAGTGGCTCAAGCCTATAATCATAGCTTGAGGCCAGGAAATTGAGACCAGCCTGGGAAACACAGTGAAATGCTGTCTCTGAAAAAAAACAAAAACAGAAAACAAAACAAAAAATTTTGGGGTAACAGAGAGATACCCTGTCTCTAAAAAATAAAAGTGAAAAACACAGTTTTCGTCAACCAAATTTTGTGTCAAATGTCTGAATTTACTTAATGCCATCATAATGATAAAGGCTTTATTTTGGAAGCAAACATTGTACAAATTAAAGTGTATTGGGAGACTAGTCCAATGGAAACATTTTTCCTTTTTCAAATGTCATATGGTTCTTCAAATCTTTTTGAGATAAAGCAGAATTTTACAGTAACAAAAAGGGTGAAAGTAACAATTATATAATCTCCAAAATAGTTTTATCTTGAGGATTGTTATGAACTGTTGATTTTTTTGACTTTCCATAAGACTAACGAGCCTTTACAATTTAAAATTAACAGTGCAGTTTTGAAGACTGTAGGAAGGCCTTTAAGAAACATCAGCAGCTGAAAATCCATCAGTGCCAGCATACCAGTGAACCTCTGTTCAAGTAGGTACTTCACGTGGCTGAAAATCCCTTGGATTCTAGGTGTGAATAAGATTGGAAATGCAAGGGTGGTGTTGAGCATTGTTTCATGTTTTTTGGCTATTTATATATCTTTTGAGAAATGTCTGTTCATATCCTTTGCCCACTTTTTGATGGATTATTTGTTTCTCTTGCTGATTTGAGTTCTCTGTAGATTCTGGATATACGTTCTTACTGGATGCATAATGTGCCAATATTTTCTCCCACTCTGTGGTTGTCTGTTTACTCTGCTGATTATTTCTTTTGCAGTGCAGAAGCTTTTGAGTTTAATTAGGTCCCATTTATTTCTATTTTTGTTGCATTTGCTGTCAGGGTGTTAGTAAGAATTCTTTGCCTAGGCTGATGTCCAGAGGAGTTTTTTCCAGTGTTTTTTCTTGAATTATATTTATGGTTTCAGGTCATAAATTTAATTTGAGCTGATTTTTGTATAAGGTGAGAGATAGGGACCCAGTTTTTCCAGCACCATTTATTGAATAGGGAGTCCTTTCCCCAGTTTGTTTTTATATGCTTTGTTCAAGATCAGCTGGCTGTAAGCATTTGGCTTTATTTCTGGGTTTTCTATTTTGTTCCATTGGTCTAAGTGCCTATTTTTATACCAGTACCACCCTGTTTTGGCAACTGTAGCCTCATAGTATAATCTGAAGTCTAGTCAAGGAAAAAGAAGTCACTATATGAAAAAGATACATGCACATATGTTTATAGCAGCACAGTTCACAACTGCAAACACATGGAGCCAATTTAAGTGCCCACTGACCAATGAGTAAAGAAAATGTGGCGTATATACACCATGGAATACTACATAGCCATAAAAGGGAACGAAATGATGTCTTTTGCAGCAGCTTGGATGGAGCTGGAGGCCATTATTCTCAGTGAAGTCGCTCAGGAATGGAAAACCAAATACCATAGTTTTCACCAAGTGGGTGCTAAGCTATGAGCCCAAAAAGACATAGAGTGATTTAATGCACTTTGGGGATTTGGAGTGGGGAGTTCGGGGAGGGGGTGAAGGATGAAAGACTACACGCTGGGTACAGTGTATGCTGCTTGAGGGACTGGTGCACTAAAATCTCAGCACCACTATAGGGTTTATCCATGTAATGAAAAAACACCTGTAACCCGAAAAGCCATTGACATTTAAAGCAACAGTGGGACAAATCTTCTGAAAGCTTCCTAATCAACATTTTTCTGTTAATATGTACTGCATATGTACATTTACATATTGGGAGCATTTTAAAGGTTTACTTTGCTCTAAAAGAAATAATGTGTTTGAAAATAATTTTTGAGATTATTCTAGCTGTGGTTAAGCTTAAAGGCTGCGAAATTACTTAACTATTCAAATAGAGCCTGTGCAACTATATGAAATGTCATTATGGAGACATTCATTATGCTTTTCCTGTAGAACAAAACAAGTAATTGGGTTTATCTGCAGTTAGAGAGGGTTTTTTGAGGAACATGAGGGGGGCTGGACAAGTTGGGTAGACCTGCAAAAGGGCCAGCGGCTCTCTGCATGGCTCTGGCCATCTGGCACTTTCCCTCAGCTTGCACAGGCTGCCTTGTGCCTTGGAGTTGCTGCAGTGACCCTGCTTCTCCTTGCTTGTGGGTCTGCTGCTGCTTTGCTGCTGATAGCTTTAGCACAGAGGGGGCACGTGCTTTTTATTGCTCACCAGAGGCAGATGCATCTACCGCTGTGCTCTCTTGCACACCCCCTGTGCACCATCATTAGGAAAGCTAGTCACAAGTGATTCAGAATGGCTTAGGGGTTTACCTAAGCCAAGTCAGATAACCTCTCAAAGTATCTTTTTGTAGCCATGAAAGCAGAGTGTATTTTCGGAGGTATAAAGATGAAAACTGTTTAACTGGGTTAAAAAAAAAGTAACGTGACTTTTTTCTCCAACAGTTTGTTTTGCCCTAAAGCTGGTCAAGTAACTTGAATCTCACTTGGTGATGAGGCCTACATTTTAACATGGGTTTGGTTATGGGAAGAGGAGAGACTTCAGTGGGAGAAACAGGACAAAGCGCCATTGACCCTGAGTGGAGTTCTCAGTGAAAATGGATTGGCTAATACCTCATGTGTTGCCAATGCAGGTGTACCCAGGAAGGATGTGGGAAACACTTTGCATCACCCAGCAAGCTGAAACGACACGCCAAGACCCACGAGGGTGTGTACGGACAGCCTGGGTGTGCTCCTCTGAGGGGGATGCCAAATCCTGGGTGCCTTTGAATCTGTTCCGTGATCACACTGACAAGAAGGGAACTCTGGGGGCAGGGGACACCATCCTGCTTATTTGGGTCTTACATTCTTGTCCAAAGAGGCACTGTATGTGTCTGTTTTCCCACTACCATGTCATTGCTGTTCACATGTAATGTGGTGTTTGTTCACAAGTGCCTGGGTGCACGTTACACTGACGAATGTGCGGATGAGAGGGAAAGGCATCCTTCCTGTGAAGTCTGCCTATTCCATGATCATGCTGAGAAGACGGGAACTCTGTGAAGTTTGCTTCACAGGAAGGTGAAATCCTTAGAGGGAGGCACCTTGCTGTGCCACTGTTCAGTTTTACTATAACGTAAATCTTTTTTAGTTTTTATTCCCACCTCAGGAGGCTGAGTTGAATACTATTAGGAGGGGAATAGAAAATTATATAGGCACCTAAGTTTTCTTTGTAGTTATGGTCAGTGTTTACACTGAATATTCATGACAGACAATGCACCAATTTTTTTACATAGGCTATGTATGTCAAAAAGGATGTTCCTTTGTGGCAAAAACATGGACAGAACTTCTGAAACATGTGAGAGAAACCCATAAAGGTAAGGCAGGCATGAATGGCAGGCATGGTGTAAATGTTTGTCCCCACAGAACTCGTTTTATGCTTTTCAAGAGTGAAATGCTGTGCGCTTTAAAGTAAAAGGGTTTCTATATGATATTTTGTGAAGTGCTGGGTATGATGTTGGAAAGGGGAGCAGAGCTGTGCTAGGTCTCTGAGCCATCCCCTCCATGCACAATTAGCATGCTGAAGGCGGTGGCAGGTGTGTAGTGAAGAATTTCGGGAGGCACTGCTGTTCTGTGGGACAGCCTGGTAAATAGTACCCAGCATACTGGGGGACAAGGAAGGACACCGTTTGGTCTGCTTCATGTTCTATACCTCCCCGCAGTCACCTTCCTGAGAGCCCTGCCTTTTGGCAAGTGAGCAATGACTTTGTGGCATTTAAGAACTTCAGAGAGTTGAGACAAACTTCCTAGGTGATAAGAACAGGGGTTCCTTGGGAATTTCTGATTTGTATTTGCAAATCAGATTGTATTTGCAGGCACTGAATGTTACTTATGTATTAATTTTTTCTAAATGGTGGTATCTGGGGAAATTGGTGAAATTTGTCTGTCCCACCAGAGGAAATACTATGTGAAGTATGCCAGAAAACATTTAAACGCAAAGATTACCTTAAGCAACACATGAAAACTCATGCCCCAGAGAGGGAGGTATGTCGCTGTCCAAGAGAAGGCTGTGGAAGAACCTACACAACTGTATTTAATCTCCAAAGCCATATCCTCTCCTTCCACGAGGAAAGGCGCCCTTTTGTGTGTGAACACGCCGGCTGTGGCAAAACATTTGCAATGAAAGTAAGCACTCACCCTCACAGTCGCGGTCCTGTAGTCTATGCGTTCACAACACAGTTTTCATATTAATATTTCATTAATAACTTTCTTTCATTTTAGCAAAGTCTCACTAGGCATGCTGTTGTACATGATCCTGACAAGAAGAAAATGAAGCTCAAAGTAAGTTGAAACTACTTAGGCAGCTTATTTTTCAAACAGAAATTGTTTAAAGCCAGAAGGAGTCTGGAATTCTTTTCAGCTGCTTTATTGTGTGAGTCTGCACGACTGCTGAAGACTTGACTTCCTCATAAAGCAGTGTTGTATACTATACCTGCTGGTACATATGACTGTCGTAAAATTAACTCAGATAATTTTGATTTTGAATTCTAATCGTGTGTCTTCCTTATTCCCAAAGGTAAAAAAATCTCGTGAAAAACGGAGTTTGGCCTCTCATCTCAGTGGATATATCCCTCCCAAAAGGAAACAAGGGCAAGGCTTATCTTTGTGTCAAAACGGAGAGTCACCCAAGTGTGTGGAAGACAAGGTGCTCTCGACGGTTGCAGTACTTACCCTCAGCTAAGAACTGCACTGCTTTGTTTCAAGGACGGTAGACGAAGGAGCTTACTTTCTCTCAGAGCATGCTTTTCTTTATTAAAATTACTGATGCAGAACATTTGATTCCTTATCATTTCCTTGGTCTTGGTTCAAAGTGTCTCTTTTCTGGGTCTTTTGAGTTTCTCCATATGCCTTTTCTTCATTTTTGCTTAAAGGACGAAGAACACACATTAAAGCTTTTCCTCCTTGAACAGCTTGTGGCCTAGATAAGAATGTAGCCATTCCAGGCATAGTCTGGAGTATTTGATGAAATATCTCCTCCTAAAAAAGGGAAACAGCCAGAGATTAATTTAAAATCAGAGGCTTTGGTGCCTTCTAGTGTTCTGCTCGAACATTCACAAAACCCGGCACCCTTGATTAGCTAATGAGTTCATATAGATCTGGTTAGGCTGACTGAAATCTGTACAATAACACCATGTAAGTAAACTGACATGCTGAATGCTTCCTAATTTTAAATCTCCACTTTGTCATGGCACTAAGAGGCTCCGTTTGGCTCAGATTACCCTCTCCCCCAAACAGAAAGCACTGGGTTTGGGCACTGGCAAAATACCTCCTCATCCCCAAGATGTCAGCTGAGCAGTTCTCAGCACGCTCTACTGCCCCTAACAGAGTCACTCTCAGTGGCTGAAACAAATGGATACCTGGACTCAAAGTCTGAATCAGCTGGGTTGGGACCTATGCTAAGTGACTCTACTGTGGAGCTGGATTACTAAGGATGCCCTTAGTGGATGCTAAAGTTATCTAACTTAAAAAAAAAAAGCAAAACAGGTATTCCATACACTTCGGGGATTGGAAACTACGCACTTTCTAGAAGACAGTCTACATAATTAATACCCTTCATAAGTGCAAAGAGGAAACAAAAGATCAATCTGTAAAGTTTCTAATTGTCCTGTTTAAGGGTTATTCTACAATATATAAAACAATAGTATATTGCTTTTAAAGTATGAAACGTTTTCATATGGCTAAATGTAATGGAAGCTATATCTACAGTATGCTTAGTTTTGAAAAGCAAACTAGAAAGCTGTTAACATCACTGGGTGGAAGAATTACCAGTCACTTTGTCTTTATATTTCAGATTTTCTACATTTTTTTTTTTTTTGAGACTGAGTCTCGCTCTGTCGCCCAGGCTGGAGTGCAGTGGGGCGATCTCAGCTCACTGCAAGCTCCGCCTCCCTGGTTCACACCATTCTCCCGCCTCAGCCTCCAGAGTAGCTGGGACTACAGGCGCCTGCCACCACGCCCGGCTAATTTTTTTTGTATTTTGAATACAGACGGGGTTTCACCATGTTAGCCAGGATGGTCTTGATCTGACCTCGTGATTCATCCGCCTCGGCCTCCCAAAGTGCTGGGACTACAGGCGTGAGCACCGCGCCCGGCCTACAATTGTATTTTTAGATCAGAAGACCAAAAGCACAAGCAATGGCTTGTACCTTCTTTACTTACCATTTTATTTTCTGACACGTCTACATTTTTTCCTTTCTTTATAGTAATCCGGACTTGGCGTTCTTTCTTAATCCACTGTTGAATCTGTTTAGTCTTTGTGTCCAAATCATGTTGTCCAATATTTGAAGAAAAAGTCAGTTCCTTTGTCAGGGTTGGTCCTGGTTTGAAACAGGGTGCAAGGACTACTGACTAGTCCACCGTGAACCCCGAACTTCCCAACATGCCCATCATAAAATCTTAGGTTGCCACCTGACAGTTCTTCTCGTCTGGCTTTCAGTTTCACACACCAGTACATGTCTTTTCAAATGGGGGAGATAAACATAAAGGTACCAATTTTTTACCTGCCCTGGAAGGGTACTCAAAATCTGAAATGCTTCCATTTATTGTTAACCATCATTTGTTGAAAGAACACCAAAAGATAGTCATTTAAAGGATTAAGTTTGGCTTTATGGTACACTTAATATCCTCATCTTTCAGCTGTGGGTTGGCATCTGGGAGTGCTCTACCCACTCCTTTTGAGATGCTCTCCTTGCTACTAAGGGGTCAGCCAGACTGTTGGACAGGTAAGGGTCCCTACGTCCTGTGTTCATGCCCTCTGTCTCCAGAAATCCTGCCTACTGGAAAATTACAGAGAAGGAACAGGCTACTCAATAAAGGTGTTGGGACAATTGAGAAGTTTATAGATGACAAAAAGTTAGGTCTCCTCAGATGTACTAATGTTCTATAGGTGAAAAATACAACTTTAAAACAGATAGAAGAAAAGATAAAATGGTTTGTGATCTCAGGATAGGGAAGGAATTCATTAGGAAAAAAAGGTAAAAAGTGAAAAATCTAACTGGGATAAAGTTTTTTTTGTCATACACAACAGAGAACCCTGTAAATCAGGAAGAAAAACCATCTACATAGAAAAATGAATACAAACAGGCATTCACAGACGAGAAAAAATAGTGAAATACACATTAATTTGTCACCATTAAAATGACAAAAACTAGAGTCTGACAGAATGAGGGAGGAGGTAGAGAAATTGCATACACTGCTGCTGACAGCAGTTTGATGCATTTGGGTTCACAGACCCTAGAGTATGCAACAGTGTTCATCATAAAGATTGGGGGCCAGATGTGCTGGCTCACGCCTGTAATCCCAGCACTTCGGGAGGCTAAGGTGGGCAGATCGTTAGAGCTCAGGAGTTCAAGACCTGAGCAACATAGCAAGACCCCATCTCTACAAAAAATAAAAAAGCCAGGGATGGTGGTGTGTGCCTGTGGTCCCAGCTGCGTGGGAGGTGGAGGTGGAAGGATTGCTGGATCCCAGGAGATGGAGGCTGCAGTGAGCCGAAATCACACCACTGCACTCCAGTTTGGGTAACAGAGCAAGACCCTGTTTTTTTTTTTTAACACAGGGTCTCACTCTGTCACCCAGGCTGAAGTGCAGTGGTGTGATCATGGTTCTTCACTGCAGCCTTCGCCTCCCGGGCTCAAGTGATCCTCCCACCTCAGCCTCCCGAGTAGCTGGGATCACAGGTTTGCACCACCACACCTGGCTAATTTTTAAATTTTTTGTAGAGATAGGGTTTTACTATATTGCCCAGGCTGGTATTGAACTCCTGAGCTCAAGCTATCCACCTGCCTTGGCCTCCCAAAGTGCTGGGATTACAGGCCTGAGCCAACATGCCCAGTGACTTTTTTTTTTTTTTTTTTTTAAAGTGACATAGTTTGATGTCCTTATTCTCCCTAGTTGGTCTCTTCTGAATTTTTTTTTGTTTTCCAGTCAACGTCCTTGTTAAATGTGGTGTTACAAAACTGAGCTGCAGATAACGTGATTTTCTGAAGGCACACAACCTCACGACGCAGTCCTGGGAGCAGTCATCTGACACCTGTCCCCGTGCGCCATCCACTGAACTTTCATAATGATTAGCACTTTTTAGGAACTATGAAAAACATCTTTGCTTAATATCCAATTCATGACTTCTGTGAGGCTTAAATGGCAAGTGCCTTGTGAAGTGACTGGTTGTATATATAAAAGAGTGTTGCTACTGATACTGTAACAAAATGCTTTGGCATGGGAGATGCTCTGTGAATCACTTCAGAGTTTAAAAGGTACTTCCAGGCTGGGCGCGGTGGCTCACGCCTGTAATTCCAGCACTTTGGGAGGCTGAGGCGGGTGGATCACTTGAGGCCAGGAGTTCAAGACCAGCCTGGCCAACATGGTGAAACCCCCGTCTCTCTTAAAAATACAAAAATTAGCCGGGCGTGGTGGCGGGCACCTGTAATCCCAGCCACTGGGGACGCTGAGGCAGGAGAATTGCTTGAGCCTGGGAGGCGGAGGTTGCAGTGAGCACACATCGCACCACTGAACTCCAGCCTGGGCGGGAGGCAGAGACTCCGTCTCAAAAAAAATAAAAAGGTGCTTCCAGATAATTAACCAAACACCTCCACTTTAGAGATGAAGAAGGGGAAGAAAACTAAGTGACTGGCCTGGCAGAGGGCAGAGGGCAGAGGACAGGAAACTTGAACATACCCCTCCCAATCTCATTCCGTTTCACCCATCAGCTACTCAGCTTGCCGTGGCACTGGGAGGCGGCCACAGGATGGGAGAAAGAGTTCTCTTCACTTTGGTCTGTCTGCCTGCTTTCTCCTACATTTTACACAGGTTTAAAGGGAAGAGACAATGGGCAGGGTATTATGGAATACTGGGAACAGAAGTAAGTGCAGGAAGGAGGAAAGACAGACACTAGGAATGGTGGTGGAATCGTGAATTTTCCAGTTTCTCATTTCCCTATTGTCACAGGCACCTTGACAAATGCTAGAATTTAAACTGCTGATTTGTAGCCCTTAAAGGATGCAGGCAGCCAACAGCAAAATACCTACCAGTTTTGGGGCTAGCCTTCTTCATCTCCCTCAGCCTCTGCCGCTCCTGGAGGATCTGCATTCCTGTCATGAGCTGGTACTCTGCAGGCTCTGTGCTGGCGTTCCTTTGAACCAGTCGCAGGTCTCGCTCATCCATAAGTCTAATCACATCTGCTCGGTGCATGTTTCCCATATCATTGCCCTTCTCATCAAATAAGTGAACAATTCGCTGACTAATTTTTCTTCCAATGTTACCAAAAGCTGTTTGACTCTTTTTTTTCTTTTTTCCTTCATTCTGGGTGTCTTCAACGGTACTAAAGGCTTCTGCATGAATTAGGAAGGAGAGTCTCGGGGCAGAAGCAATAGGGAACGACTGTGCTGGTGCTGTCTTTTGCACGATGTGTTTACCAAAACATCTGACGCAACTATTTTCAGACTTTACAGTTTGTAGTGTTAATCTCTTTAGAAAAAGAGCAGCCATCCTAAGAACGTAGTAAGAAGAGTTCATTAAAATTCAATCATTTATTCCCTCGGTCTGACATTGTGGTACACGGCAGGGCATGTGTGAGGCTGTGGAGGCTGTAATTTCAAGTGTGAAGGAAACTGCTGTTCTCTAGACTTTCAGATCCACACACAGGAAGTCTACACTGATAAAGTGGACTAGCAGGTGACTCTGGCCAGACTAACTCACTCATGGTGGTACTGTCCCCAAGACAAGTGGCGATTAGAATAAACCGGATTTGCAGAGCACTTTCACTTTTTTTTTTCTTTTCCTGTACCCATGATCTCATTTGACTACTTAAGTTGGCCCCTGAACAACTTGGGAGTTAGGGAAACAGACTCCCAGTGCAGTTGAAAATCTGTGTATAACTCTGACTCCTCAAAAACTTAAAATAGCCTGCTGCTGACTGAAAGCCTTACGAATAACATAAGCAGTTGATGAACACATATTTTGTATGCCATGCGTATTATATGCTGTATTCTTACAACAGAGCAAGCTAGAGAAAAGAAATGTCATTAAAATCATGAAGAGAAATATATTTACTATTCATAAAGTGAACATGGATCACCATAAAGGTCTTCATCCTCACCGTCTTCACATCGAGCAGGCTGAGGAGGAGGAACAAGGGGAGGGGTTGGTCTTGCTCTCTCAGAGGTGGCAGAGGCAGAGGAAAATCCACATATATGTGGACCCCATGCAGTTCAAACGTGTGTTGTTCCAGGGTCAATTGTATTTCTCATGCATCTTGTAGTGCCAACTCCAAAAGCAAATATCATCTTAGGGGTTTATTTATGAGGATGCAATACATAATATGCTTGGTGATTCATAAACACCAATTGATAAACTTTTAATATAATGAACTGTTAACAATTTTTCAATACATCTGATGGTACATAGCAGATAGGAACACGTTATGGGAAAGGGACCTCTCCAGGAAGGAAGCCAGCCCACTGCAAGAGTAACTGAGACTGTCGGAAAATACTGTGACATAAATCAAAGTGCTGACTGACCGCATAAACTATAAAGATCATTCTCAAGGTAAGGCAGGTATTATTACCAAACGTTAACAGAGGCATGTATGGTGACAGCGCCTTTACTTCATTTCTATGAGACTGAATTTGAAGCACTTACAAATCGCACATTGATTTTTTAATTGCTTTTCTGTCCTTCCATTCGTGCATTTGGTAAATCTTAGAAGTACAGGCTGAAAGAGTGCCGAGAGGACCCATTAATCTCATCTAGGGCATGCTAGGAATCATTAGAGAATCACAAACTCCGAGAGGTGTGACTTGTCAAGATGAAAGAGGAAAACAGAAGGTGTCTCAGGGTGCTTCTCAAAGAATGGTCCCAGAATCTCCTGGGGTGTTTAAAACTGGAGGTTCCCTCTGGTCCCTGGCTTTGAGCCCACCGGGCTGTCCAACCCACTGATCTCTCACCCCTCGTGTTCAAGAGTGATATGCAAAAAATATGGCAAATTAAACAGAAAGTGATGGACATGCATATTCTCAACACCCTCCTTACCTAGTATGGTAACACCCAACACTAATTTACAGCTCTGGTGCCAAGCTCTTCTCTGAGTTCCACACCTGTAGGGTTAACTGCCTACCCAACCTCTCCACTTAGATATGTAATAGTCATTGAGGATTAACGAGTCCAAAGTTCAATGCTTGCTCCTCCCTCAGTCTTCCCTGTCTCATGTAATGGCAACACATTCTTCTGGTTGCTCAGGCCAAAAATACCAACGTTACCCTTGACTCTTTATTTTCTCTCAGCAACCCATCTGCAAAACCTACCGTTCAACCAGTATAACCACTTCTCACCTCCTCCACTGCTATCATCCCACTCCCAAACCGCTGCTCGACTGCAACACAGTAAAACTGTATCACAGTGACAGCTTCCTGACTGGTCTTCCTGCCTCTGCCCTCACGCCCTAGAGTTTATTACTGCCAGGGCACATAGAGCAATCCTTAAAAATGCGTAGGTCGGATCACGTTCCTCCTCTGCCCACAACCCTCCCCTGGCTAGTATCTCTCCAAGTAAAAGCCAAGCCCTCTACCATGCCCACTGGTCTGTGCCGACTGTGCTTCTTCTGGCTCACTCTGTTCCAGCCTCCTTGCTGTTCCTTGTAAACAGTGAACACACCCATCCTCTGAGTCCTGGCACCCAGAAATTCTCTCCCTGCAATACTCTTCCCTCAGACAGCCTCATGGTTCATTTACCTCGTCTCTGCTCAAATGCTACCTCTCAGCAAGTCCTTCCCTGACCCCTCCATAAAAGAGCAAACCCCAACACTCTCAAACCTATTCTCTTGCCTTTTAAAAACTTTACTGCATTTATCACTGCTGGACACATTATATATTTATTTGCATATACATTCATCATCTTTCCTCACTGGAATGAAAGCTTCATGAGAATATGGACTTTGTCCATTTTGTTCACTGCTACGTTCCCTGGCACTACAGCCCAGACCCTGGCTCAGCGTGTACATGTCGAACGAATGCATGGGCCAAAGGAAACAGCCAAGGAGCTACGGCGGGGCTGCTGGCATTTAACCTCCAAGCCTTCGGATGCATCACTCCCCGCCAATGCACACGAATGCCTGCAAGCTACACCCTTCACATTTCTAGCTGGCATTTCAGACACCCGTCAGCATTCGTGAGGATCTGTGGCCAGATGCTCCATCCACAGTGCATGACACGCATTGATTTATGGTTATTACCCAGCTGGCGGCTCCAGCTGTAGATGCGGTCAAGGCTCTAAGGTGGGAGCAAAGTGATTTTAAATCACTGACATACGGTTTCTTTTGTGAATGGAAGAAGCTTCCAAACCAAAAAAGAAAAATCTGAAGAGATCAGACAAGAATTTTTTTTCACTTATCATCAGAAAACCAGCAACAGCATCCAGTCCCAAATGTCACCAGTATTCTGCTAGGGGACGCTTAAGTTCCTGCTCACAAGCCTGCTCTATAAACTTTATGTCTAAAATCAGTGTTGTTTCTTTCCAAAGTCTGTATCAGCAAGAAGGATGTAGAAGTTACCACATGTAAAATCATGTTACTAGATATATATAAATTTAAATAATCTTGATGTACACAGATGAAACAGTCCACTGCAATGAAGCTTTAATACTAACTCAATATTGGCTATCTTTTTCCCTTAGTAATTATGAATAAAAGCTAAAGTGCCTTGTTTAATAAATTATCAACATATTAAAATTAAAAAAAATTTCAAAATGTAGGATTTTTTTCAAACAAGCAAACAAAATAACTAGATATAGGAAAAGATGGAAAAAAATAAAAATGTTGAAGACAAAAGCAATTCTTTCCCCTATTTTTCCTAATTGCCAGTATTTCTCAAATTTTTATAAGTATTATTTTTATACTTGAAAATAAACTTTATTTATTTACAAAACAAAGACTATTTCAGAAAAATGATGTAGGTTTTTTTTTAAAAAGCTTTAAAAACACTTTCCAAGAAGGAAACGAAGGAAAGGGAAAGAGCAGAAAAACACTGGAAGTATATAACTTTTAAAGTCCTTTGCCATTATTGAAATTTAAGTTTAAATTTTTAAGAAGCTTCCATTTTTTTTGATGTCTAAAGCAAACAATGCAATTCATTGCAATTAAGCTTTAATACTAACTCAGTACCTGCTTTAAATCAGCAAAATTGAAAATATACGTTTCTTCAAAATAGGCCCTTATAGATAAAAATATAAATACAAAGTTAAAACAACCTGTAATATTACATTTAAATTGCAGCTATCAACATAAATTCATAATTTAAAAACTTTTTATTAGGGAACCTTTCAACCTCATACAGAAAAAACTGGATAATAAACAGCACCTGCGTTTCGTCTTTACCCCTCAACTATCTCCCCGCAGCCATCTAGGAAGACTTTCAAAGTAAATCCTACTTTTTCAGGAAATAGTATGTATCTCTAAGAGGTACTCCTTAATCTTTTTAATACTCACAATAACATTATCCCAATTAAAAAATGTTCCTTTATGTCGTCAAATATTTAGCTTTCAGATTTCCATGATGGTATTATTATTTTGTTTGTTTACATGTCATTTACAGTTTGGCAGCATGAAGAGACTCCCACTGGTCAATTTTGGTGTAATTTAAACAGTAAGGCATAATTACTGTCATTCATGTCAATACACTGAATATGCAAAAATCTATGAAAATGATAATTTGCCACAACTGCATGGGACTATTATCTTGATTCTTTACTTTGAAAATTGGTAATTAAGTAAAAAGAACTAAGCATTTATCCTACCTTTTTAGGAAGAACTGTAATCACCCCCGATTGATGAGAAACAGCTCTTCTGTAGAGAAGAATGATAGCTAATAAACACAAAAGAAAAGCAAAAGTAATTAGAAAATCATGCCATGCACGATGTCTCACACCTGTAATTCCAGCACTTTGGGAGGCCAAGGCAAGAGGATCACTTAAGGCCAGGAGTTTGAGACCAGCCTGGGCCACATAGCAAGACCCAGTCTCTACAAAAAATTAGCCGGATGTGTTGACATGCAGCTGTACTCCCAGCTACTGCTGAGGCTGAGGAAGGAGGTTCACTTGAGCCCAGGAGGTTGAGGCTGCAGTGAGCTCTGATCACACCACTGCACTCCAGTCTGGACAACAGAGCAAGACCCTGTTTCCAAAAAAAAAAAGAAAATCACCATTTTTCCAACCCCAGTGAAACCACGGATTCAGACAGGGATGGATGCAAGAGAGCTGATGCCGAAGGGTCACCACAGATGACTTTCAGACTGAGAGGGAAAAGCACACTCTGCTGAGGAGACAGCTGTCTGTCATCCCAAGCAAACGTCAGACTCAGCATCTCCAACAGTGGGACAACCTGCCATCCTTGCCACATCTCCGGATGGGAAGCTACTGAAGTGCATGGCGCCTTCTATGAAGCAGCTTTGAAAAAAGGTTTGACCTGAACCTGATGCAGGGTCTAGCTTCCAGTTTCCAGGGGATACAAGGGCCAGACTCAGAGGAACAACAGAAGATGCCACAAGGAAACAATCTGACAAATCCAGATGGAACAAGACACCTGGTTAGTGTCTAAAAAAGCCAATGTTATTGGGAATGAAAAGGGAAGGGGAAAGCTATTCTTGAGTGGAAAAAAAAATCAAGGAGACATAATTATGCTGAAAAGACATGTTGGGGATGAGGGGAAAATCTGAATAGAGACTAGGTATTAGATACTATTAGAGACGTATTGTTAATTTTCTTTGAGACAGGTTCTCACTCTGTCACCCAGACTGGAGTGCAGTGGGGCAATCTTGGCTCACTGCAACCTCTGCCTCCCAGGTTCAAGCGATTCTCCTGCCTCAGCTTCCCAAGTAGCCGGGAGTACAGGTGTGCACCACTACTGCCCAGCTAATTTTTGCATTTTTAGTAGAGATGGGGTTTTACCATGTTGGCCAGGCTGGTCTCGATCTCCTGACCTCAAATGATCCACCTGCCTTGGCCTCCCAAAGTGTTGGGATTACAGGCGTGAGCCAGGGCACCCAGCCTGTTAATTTTCTTAGGTGTGAAAATGGAATTCTTAAGAAACAAATGCTGAAGTATTGAGGAGAGTGTCATGACATCTATCACTTGCTTTGAAACCATTCAGCAGAAAAGATAAACAATGCACTTATGGCAGCATTTGCTGAATCTAGGTTATGGTTATATGGGTGTTCAATAATTAATACATTTTTAAAGAACAAATCAATAGCCTAGAGGGAGGAACAGTTCATTAGTAATGCCAATGTAACTATTCCAGTCTAAGTTCTAAATTTCACTGTAATTTAATACATTGGCATTCTGGCTTTGTACATAATTTTAAAAAATATTCCCTTTATTTGTTTCAAGCCTATATCTAAGTGACCCATAAATAAGGAACTTTATAAACTTAAAATTCTGATTTTTTGGTAATGCATACTGCCTTTATTTCTTCATTTAGTTTTCAAGTGTAAAAGCCTTATCATAAAATGGTGATGGGGCAGGATGGGAGGAAGGCTGGCATAAAAAAAAGTACACATTAGGTACAATGTACACAATTCGGGTGACGGTGCACTAAAGTCTCAGAATTCACCACTATATAATTCGTCCATGTAATGAAAAGCCATTTGCAGTCCAAAAGCTACTGAAATAAAAATTTTAGAAGAATAAAATAAATGGTGATGGTTTCAGTTTGAGGCAGAACTGGTACAATTTTTTGCTAGTGAACGGTTAAAAGTCAACTGGTCTACAATGGGGCGGTGTTTCTCAGAAACCAGGGCCTGTCCGCATCACCTGGGGATGCTTTTCAAAACACAGATGTTTCCTCTTCCCTATCCTGTTCAGAACTACTGGGTTAGGCCAAAAAAAAAAAAAAAAAGAAAAAAGAAAAAAAGATGAACTAAGAGTAAGAAAACACTATAACTGGGGTCAAGGGTAGTTTGAGCTAGGATGCCTGAGACTGCCCCTAACCTTTCAAGGTTGATGAAAAATAGGAAGCCACGTTCTCTGATGAAAATCTCTGATGCCTCTGTGACGTAAACAACACTAGGCTGAATAGGCCTCAAAATAGAAACAAACGCTTACATTCTCCTGATAATCCTGGTGCATCTGCTGCACTCACTCCCACAACTACACTCTCCGAGACATCCACAATATTCTAAAAGTCAATTATCTTAATGTCAATTACTTATAATACATAACTTTATAGTATGATATCCATTTTTAATTCGATTACTCAGACTTTATCTGAGTTTTGACAAGTGCATACACCTTTGTAACCAAAACTCCTATCGACAAAACATCACCATCATCCCAGAAAGTTCCCTCTTGCCATTTCCATGTCGATCTCCATCCCCAAGAGGCAACTATTGTTCTGATCTTTTCCCATCACAGTCTGTCCTAAGACTTCATATAAACGGAATCAAACAATATCTACTCTTTGTTGTAAGGCATCTCAGCATGTTTCGAGATTAATTCACGTTGTACGGATCATTACTTTGTTCCTTTTTATTTCTAAGAAGTGTCCTCCAAGTATATGAATATATCGCAGTTTTAAAATCTAGTTTTCTGTTAATGAACACCTAGGCTGTTCCCTTTGTTTTTTTTTTTTTTTTTTTTTGGCCCTTACGAATAGCTGCTGTGAACATTCTTGTACCAAAAAAAAAAAAAAAAAAAGACAATTATTACTGCTCCAAAGGACAGCTGTATTCCCTGTATTATTTTGCATTCCACTGGAAGTACTGATAAAATATTTGCAAGGAAACTTCCTGGAACATAATTTAAATATGTGGTTTAGGAGATATGAGGGGTGTGTGGGTGGGCATTCTTTTTTTTTTTTTTTTTTTTTTTTGAGAGGGAGTCTCGCGCTGTCGCCCGGGCTGGAGTGTAGTGGCCGGATCTCAGCTCACTGCGAGCTCCCCCTCCCGGGTTTACGCCATTCTCCGCCTCAGCCTCCCGAGTAGCTGGGACTACAAGCGCCCGCCACCTCGCCCGGCTATTTTTTTTTTTTGGTATTTTTTAGTAGAGACGGGGTTTCACTGCGTTAGCCAGGATGGTCTCGATCTCCTGACCTCGTGATCCGCCCGTCTCGGCCTCCCAAAGTGCTGGGATTACAGGCTTGAGCCACCGCGCCCGGTCAAGGGTGGGCATTCTTGTCCAATAAAAAATTAAATCACTTGCATACATTTGAAATCATGTGGACTGAAGAGACAAAAATAACTTCTATTATTTGTTCACTCACTGCTTTTCTCATATAGCTGATATTCACAAGCTCATACTGTTATCTGTTCTTTCCTGGGAGACTGGATCAAAGTTGCATAGACTCTAGCAGACTAAATATTTGTGAAATTAATTTTGCCAATTCTCACGACCCTAAGAACTCTTTTACACCTTCCAAAGAAGTTTCATAAAGTCCTTGTTTCTGCCTGCAAACTGTTTCGGTTGTCCCATTCTAGCCTGAGCAGTGCAGCCTTAATCCGAGAGGACCAGCACTACCTTACTGGGCCTTCATGCTGCCCTCCCTTGGCTCTGGTTTTGCTCTTCCATAGGAAACACAAAGTGTACTCTCCATAATGAGGCTGAGCTGTTTACGTGCTAGAACTCCCACTCAGAACACTGGAAAAAGCCAACATATATCTTTGGCCAATTATTTAACCATATTTCTTTAGCTATTAAGTTGAAATAATAACCATATGTTTTTAAAAAGCTTTTAAACCCAGAGCTAAAGACTCAGTATTAAAAACTGGACTTATGGCCGGGCGCAGTGGCTCACACCTGTAATCCCAGCACTTTGGGGAGGCTGAGGAGGGCAGATCACTTGAGGTCAAGGGTTCAAGACCAGCCTGGCCAACATGGTGAAACCCCTCTACTAAAAATACAAAAAAACTAGCCAGGCCTGGTGGCACGAGCCTGTAATCCCAGCTATTTGGGTGACTGAGGCAGGAGAATCACTTGAACCCGGGAAGCAGAGGTTGCAGTGAGCTGAGATCGTGCCACTGCACTCCAGCTTAGGCATGCAGCCTAGGCAACAGGGTGAGACTCTCTCTCAAAAAAAAAAAAAAAAAAAAAAAAAAAGGAACTTATTCTCCTATGTTAACCCTATGTTAGTCTTCTTCCAGAACTCTAGTGATGGGGTCACCACCCATCCACAACCTCCAGTCACCTCCAAGACACCTTTGACGCCTCCACTTTCCTTCACTTTCACAGTCAACCCAACACCAAGCTCATCGACTTCATTTCCTAAATCCCGCTCGAATCCATCCAGTTTTCTCCGTATCCACTGTCACCACCGTCAGTTTAAAACATCGACCACCTAGTTTGGATTCCTGCCAGTCTCCCAACTCGGCTTGAGCCCTGGCAACCAGTTCCCACTGCACTGCGGTCACTACACCCGTCAGGACCCTCCTCATCTTAAATAAAACTGCCCCGAGATTAAGGATCTACACCTTCACCAGGCCAAAAAGCCTTTCCCACCTGTCCAGTTTCTCCTTCATGCCTAGGCCACACTGGCCATTCGGCTTTTGAAATACAGTACTCTTGTCCTTGGTTTAGGAAAAGCCAGATTAATGCCTAGCGCATTCTTCTGATTACCTCCCAAACTAAGCCAGGTCTCCCAACCCTCCCGCAATTTACTGAGCCTAACACTGAATGCTTCTACAGTCCAGTTTATCTTTCCTTTAAAACATTCATTACAATTACAGTTTCGTGATGATCTTAGTACTACTGCTCTCCATCACTAGACCGTAAACTCTACGAAGCAAGAAACAAAATCGACTTATTACTGTGTTGTGCCTGGCACAATAAATAGTAGTCGATTTTCCAGATTTTTCTCTCCTCCCTCTACTTTTCTTAGACTTAGGCCTTTCACAACACGTACTTGAAACTGAGACTTCTCAGTAAGAGAACTTGGTTTACTTCGTTCAAGTCTTAAGCCACGGAGCCTACTAAATGATAAATGAGAAAATAAATCCCAGTCACTTAGCGACCTTCCCCCATAAGGTCTCCTCCCGCAGCAGCAGGCAGCAAGAACAACGCATTTCTTCAGGCTTTCCTGCGCAGGCGCCCTTCGCCTGGCTTGTTCTGCCCCAGAGGTGCCAGGCAGTAAGGGGCAGGAGCACTTCCGGGAGCCCCTGATCCGGTCGTGGGTAACACGGCGGCCACGCCCACCTGGAGAAGGCCACCGGCGGCGCGTCCGGGTTAGAAACGGGACGTAGGGACGTACTGCGTGCGTGCGTGCGCACAAAAGTGAGCGCGCATGGCGGGGCAGAACTAGGTAAGCTCAGTAGGGCCGGGGCCGGGGCCGACTCTAGGTCTAGCATCCTTGGAAAGTTCGTGCAGCGGCCTCCCTGAAAATGGCATTACAGCCCGGCAGAAAACCCCCCGACTCTGCGGCAGGACCTGCGGGGCCTCTCCGCCCTCGGTACCGGCAGGACGGGGTGACCGTGACCTTCCAGGTGCCTCCTCTACAGGGGCGCCCCCTAAGATCACGTCCTCCCGGTGCTGGTCCGCACACCGCTCCGCACGCCTCATATTTAGCATTACCTGTGCCGGGGCAAGCGACTGTTACACTCTGGCGGGCGCACGTACAGCGGCTCCGCGGCGAGTCCCCTTCGCTCTCCGTAGTGGGCGGGGCTTCATCCCGCGTCCTTTAAAGGAGAGGTGATGGGTGGAGCCACGGTTTTCTACAGTTGGGATGCCGTTCCGCCGACAGAAAATGCGGAGGGCGCGGAGGAAGTGTTTGAGGGGAAATTGCTGCTCACCTGGCTCCTGCCGCTCCGCAGGTGCGGTGAATCTAATGTCACATTTCTGCAGCAATCGGAGCAGCCCTTCCTCCAGTTATATTACATTCACACCAATCTCGGTCTCCCACTAGGGCTTTATAAATAGCTTTTATAAACGTCTTTTTAATGTAACACTGAATAAAGTGTTTTATAAGCTGCTTTTATAAGGATTGTGAGTGAAAGGGCGCTATCTCCGATTTGCAGGTGAGCAGACAGCTTCGGAGTGCGAACGGCTCCCCTTGGGTCCCCGGTGGAGCGCGGCTCCCGGAGGCAAAACGAAGCCAGCTGGGGCCGGGGCGTCAGAGCCTCCGCGTTGTAGTTGGGAGAGGTTCGAACGGGGCCTCAGCTGGCGAAGGGGAAAACGGACCCGGACCCGGACCCGTGGAGCCCGCTCGAAAGCCGGGTGCTGGGGGTGTGGGCCGCCCTTCCCCCCTCCGTCTTCAATAAGAAATTCCTCAAGGGCAGACTGCGAATCCACAGTCGTGAAGCCGCCTAATCTGGCGTCATACCTGGAATGTTTGGATTCCTGCTATGAAGAGAAATTAACATTTATTGGCTACTTGTCCACTGGAAGGCGTTGTCTTATTTCTCATTAACTCCTTGAATCAGCATTACCTCTTTTATTACAGATGACTAAACGATTTCAGCTTTAGTTCTTTGAGAGCAAAGACGAAATCTCCATTTCCTCCTCAGCTGCTGGTAGCTCGACGCTCACTGTTAAAATAGGGAGGTGATGAAACAACTCTTGTGTGAGACCGAAAGTCCAGGTGTGCATCTTGGCTGTTTCCAAGTTAATCAAGAAGAATTAAGGATTCATTTCATTGTATCAAAATTACTTGTCAATGCCAAGATATTTTGCGTGATGTAGATTCGGGGACAGAGTAGCACAATACCTGGGGAGAGTTAGGTGCTCAGCAATTATAATTGTCCACACTTAGGAGTGCTTTTACCTATGTGCCAGAAACTGTTCTACGCACTGAACATATCTCAAGTTATTTAATCTTAAGGACAGCCTTATGAGCCAATTAGTATTATTACCCATTTTACAGATGAGGGCACTGAGACAAATTTGCCCAAGGTCACACACAACTAGTAGCAGAATCAAGGAAAAAAAAAAAAAAAGCCAAAAAACCCAAAGCCCAGGCAAACTAAATGTTCCTTGCATCGCTAGACTGAAGTAGTGAAACAGTAAAGTTACGAGTCCATGAAAACATTAAAGGATGTGAAGTATGTACAAGTAACTGAAACATTTAATGCCCAAACTAAAGACTTAAAATTTGCTAAGGTAATAGTACAGATAGATTGACACCAAGTAATCGCTGGTAACTGAAGCTACCGCCCAGCATCCATTTGCAGTCCCTCTTTGAAGGCAGCTGTGTCCAGAGCAGGTGGTTTAGGAAGCTTTCTAGACTTACATTGTCAGCTGTCTCCACACCTAGAAGATGGAGCTTTAGTGTTTAGGAGACATGCAGAAATGGGATGACCATTACAGACATGCTCACAGATGGACAGAAGCCTTTTTTTTCGTCTTTTCCCTTGAACTCTCCTTTGACCTCCAGCCGAAATGGAGCTTGGCAGCTTTTTTTTTTTTTTTTTTTTTTTTTTTTTTTTTTTTTTTTTTGAGACGGAGTGTCGCTCTGTCGCCCAGGCTGGAGTGCAGTGGCGCAATCTCGGCTCACTGCAACCTCCGCCTCCCGGGTTCACGCCATTCTCCTGCCTCAGCCTCCCAAGTAGCTGGGATTACAGGCGCGTGCCACTGGGTCCGGCTAATTTTTGTATTTTTAGTAGAGACGGGGTTTCACCATGTTGGCCAGGCCGATCTCGAACTCCTGACCTCAGGTGATCCACCCCACTCGGCCTCCCAAAGTGATAGGATTACGAGTGTGAGCCACCACGCCAGGCCACTTGGCAGCTTTTAAGGGGTCATTGAGAGCCTTGAACTCTGCTTCGTGGGGACAGACTTTGAAGATCCTTGAATAAAGATGACTTTGGTTTGGGGAAGTGATATTACTATGCCACAGATCTTTTGTAAACTGCTCCATTATGTACATAGAAGAGGACTCTGAGAAATGCGTAGCGCTTTCCCAATTATGTTATCGTTTCTACACATAATTTAACCCCCTCAAAAATGAAACTCAGTAAGACTCAAATCACAGTGACTCTAAAAATGCCTGTGTTTTCTACCACATGGTAATTTCTACGTTAATTTCCATAGCATGCCCGTGAACTTTCTCTTGCAATTAATATATTGGTGATTTGCTCTGATGAAGGAATAATGGAAATATCCTGTCCCTCTCTTTGCCTGTTAGCTTTCCAAGTCCTCCCACTTTTCCCCAACGCCGAGGGGACCTTCCAAAATAGGATTATATGTGAGATTTACTTGCTTAGCCCAAAGTCATTGAGGTACAACATATCTGATCCACAAAATAATCAGTATGTGGGTGATTTCTTTAAAAAGTTTTGAACACTGGGCTGCATCTTTATAGTGCCACAATGACTGTAACAATTCATTTAAAAATCTAATACTAATAAAAATCCTGTGTTTGTTTTTTTTTTTTGAGATGAGGTCTCACTCTGCTGCCGAGGCTGGAGTGCAGTGGCACTGTGTTGGCTCACTGCAACCTCCATCTCCTGGGTTCAAGCAATTCTCCTGCCTCAGCCTCCCAAGTAGCTGGGATTACAGGCACCCACCACCACGCCTGGTTAGTTTTTATATTTTTAGTAGAGATGGGGTTTCACCATATTGGCCAGGCTGGTCTGGAACTCCTGACCTCAGGTGATCCACCCACCTTGGCCCCCCAAAGTGCTGGGATTACAGGTGTGAGCCACCCTGCCCAGCCAAAATTCTGGGTTTATTTTGAAGATACGAAGCATCTTCAAACTTTAACGCCCATGTGGGTTCAGATATTCAGCATATTCTTCAACAAATAATTGTTCATAGATTATATACTCCTCCCTCCCCAGATTATAAACTCTCACCTGGGCAGTTTTGCTAAAACTGGGGGAATTTAAGTCTATTATGTGTGAGATCCTATGTAGTGCCAAGTAAATGTAGCTGAGAGCAGTTATCTTAAACGGCAGCAACTCTGTCATTACAAGGCCAGTTTAATAGCCAAGAGGGCCCATGCTCTCCTTAGCTGATGTTTACAGACTTGTCAAAAGATAGAAACAAGGCAGGCAAGAGGCTTTGGCTGAGTATTAGATAACTCGTTGAAAACTTCCTGAAGATACTCTCAGTCCAATATTGTGTGTCTATTATTGTCTGTTAGAAACTATTAAAGCCGAAAGCATTCTTACGGAATCTCTACCATTTTCCTCAGGCGACTATAATTAATCCATTTCAAACATGTAAACATCTCTATATTTAAAACAAGACAAAACAAAACAAAATGAAAAAACTCGAGGCTAGGAGATTTAGCTTCTCATTTCAATGTTTTATAAGACGGGAGTCTTTTCCTTTACATAACCTAAATCCATCATGTTGCTACTTAGTCTGGTTCTGCAGTAGAGCTGGAGAACGTCTGGTGACCACATCTGTGTTATAACCCTTTATGTGCTCTCAGACTACTAGATTCAAAATAAATTTCCTTACTGTGAGATTTCCCGTAACATTAGACTCCGGATTAATCATTTCTCTTGTCAGAATATGATGGCCTCAGTTATTAAAAGGTGGTGGTTGTGAATCAGCAAAATAAATTTGTCTAAAATTAATGACATTGTAATAAATTTTTAAAAAGCTTTCATATTTGCCAAATAAAAATATTTGTATATGGAAGATCCACTTATCTTCTGTGAAGAGTCTCTTGTGCAACCGCAGAAGCAGAAAATAGGTTCAAAAGTTTCATTTGGAACACAACAGAGACATGTCTTTCCATTTCAGAGGTATTGAGTTTTGGGGTGATTCAGTTAACTTTCATCGTTTTGAAACAATGAAAATAATTTCTATTACCATCATAGGACATCATGCAGAACAACAGAGAGCTAGCGCGAAATGTACCATGCTGACTACTGTGTAGATAAAGCAAAACAGGACGAAATGATTAGTTAGCATTTTACATTTAGAATGCAACCCAGCCGGGCACAGTGTCTCATGCTTGTAATCCCAGCATTTTGGGAGGCTGAGGCGAGCAGATCATGAGGTCAGGAGTTCGAGACCAGTGTGGCCAACATGACGAAACCCCACCTCTACTAAAAGTACAAAAAAAAAATTTAGCTGGGCATGGTGGTGCGCACCTGTAGTCCCAGCTACTCGGGAGGCAGAGGCAGGAGAATCCCTTGAACCAGGGAGGTGGAGGTTACAGTGAGCCAAAATTGCACCATTGCACTCCAGCCTGGATGATAGAGGGAGACTCCATCTCAAAAAAAAAAAAAAAAAAAAGGATGCAACCCTATACTATTTTTAAACGTTTACGTGAAACGTTGTAGTTACAAGGCTATTTAAGGAGGGGAGGACTGACAGCAAATAGAATGTTTGTGATAAAATAAATTTGTGCTGTTTCCCATCTTTGAGGCAAATGGAATTAAAGGCAAATTATTCCATTTTGGAAAGTTCCTCAAATGTGGCGTTTCAGATGTTTACTGTATAGGGAAGTAGACTTTCCACTGTACTTTGGAATCATTGTTTTGCTGCTTTTTCACCTTGCAAGTTGCTAGGTTCTGCTGCCAAGATTTTTAAAGCCTGCTTTGTTAGCAGCCTAGGACACATCCCTGACCTTACCAAAGTGAAAGTGAAAGCTCTTAGTTTTTCTTCTTCTTCTTCTTCTTTTTTTTTTTTTTTTTGCAACAGTAAATCTACTAATTTTACAGTCAGTTGAACAGCAATAGATTAATTTGTGTAAAGTCTGCATTCACAAAGACAATCTAAACTTCAGTGGCTTGAATGCCTGAAACTGCAGTGTGATATTTGAAGGGTAGACACTCTTACAACTTGCCAAGAAGGATACAGGCAGTTCACTGTCACCTGCTTCTCGGCACAGGTGCTGACCCCTCGGTCGACTCGGGGCCTCCTGATGGGGTAGCAGGAAGGCTGGGCCTTTGTGTGGTACAGAGAACGCTTTTCCAATGACTGGGCTAGTTCTCTCCAGCAGACACAGGAAACAGAAGAAAGAAGAGGTTAAGGGCCGCCAAGAGGGTCAGAATGGGTTAAATTTAGTTAACATCAGAGGTTATAGCTTTTAACAAGAGCTACAAGAAAACTTATTCGAAGATGCAATTTGTTTCTTCTTTGTCCACTGTTATTTTTTTCCCACTATTGATAGTGACAGCTTAACAAAGTTTTTATATGCTAAAGGTTTTCATCCCTTAGAGAATAAAGAACTGTGTTCCTAAAAAGAGATGCAGGTGGAAAACTTTATAAAGCTTCCATGATTTCCAAATTGGGAGCTTTGAAATAGGCTCCCTGCTTGGCTAAGTCAAAAATAATCTGTGAAAAAAAAATCCCTATTGGAAATGGAGGAATGCTCCAGTAGTCAGATGCAGAGCTCCTACTTCTAGAAGATTCTTTGTGTGAATTTTTCTCTCAGCCGTCCTAGTAGACTTTTCCCAGTTATTCAAAATTATCAAAGCGGCCTTCTCTGAAGGTGCATTTCTTCAAATTTAGGACATAATACTGGGCAGGACTAGTTGTTTATTGCATTTCTATGTAAGCAAAGAAAAATGGCCATAGATTTCTGTGTATGTCCTTTATGCTCGCTCTTAAAACTCTGTTACTCTGCATTTTCTGTTCAACAACTGAACTGTTAGGGAAATTGAGCTTTCAAAAGAGAGTCATGTAAATTCTAGCTCTTCAACTGGAAATGTATGATTACCTAGGACTGATATTCAGTGTCCGACATCATACTAAGGCCTTATGTGTTTTTCAGCTGCATTTCTCTGATAAATACGAGGCCTTGTTTTTGAATGAGTTTAATCATTCATTTAGTTGAGATTATCAAATGCCGAACTTGGGTTTTCAGAGCCATGTTTCTACCTGATGGTCAGCAAGGAAAACGTAATCTACACATCTGAGTGCTGAACTATAATCCACATTTGACAACATGTTTGTTTCAGGTATGGTGAGGACTCATTTAAGTGTTATTTGGGAAATAAGATGTTTTATATAAGGGAACCTTCCAGATACCCTAAGCTTACCTCTCCAATGAATACAAACTTCTATATTTTTACCTTTATGAATGAAAGTATTTTATATAATGTATTACAGACATTCTTGCTTTCTGAAGTATGGTGTGATTTTTTTAAGAACTAGGAGTATCAGGTTGGGCATGATGGCTCATGCCTGTAATCCTAGCACTTTGAGAGGCTGAGGTAGGCAGATCATTTGAGGTCAGAAGTTTGAGACCAGCCTGACCATCTCTACTAAAAATACCAGATTCCCCTTGACTCTGTCTCAAAAATTAAAATCCAGTCTAGCCACATCTTTCATTTTCTGTATATAATAGGCAGATTTGATGACTGACTTGGACAAATGTTTTGGTATTAACACTCACAGTCAAAACCAGATACCATAAAATGGATTTATTTTAGTAATTAAAACTGCAACTTCAAATTATTACTAGGACAGCTTGTAACTAATGTGGCCTAATGAAAAAAAAGTGTGCCACACATGATGATGCATCACTTAAAGGTTATAATCTATAATCACTGGCAATTCATCACGCCTCCTTTCACACTCAACCATCATGTCATCACACACTGGTGTGTGTCATTTGTGTTAATAGTTTACATCATAGAAGTTGCCACTGATTTTACTTTTGTTTTTTGCAAATTAGAATGGATTTGAAGTTATTCTGTCTATAGTTGGCCTCTCGTTCACTTCTTTTTTTCCTTTTTATTTTTTTAGAGACAGGGCTTTGCTCTGTTGCCCAGGCTGGAGTGCAGTGGCGCAATCATAGCTCACTGCAGCTTTGACTTCCTGGGCTCAAGCAATCTTCCTGCCTCAGCCTCCCGATAGCTGGAACTACAGGTGCATGCCACTACGTCCTGCTAATTTTTAAATTTTTTTTGTAGAGAAGAGGTCTCACCAGAAGGCTGGTCTCAAACTCCTGGGCTCAAGCCATCCTTCCACCTCACCCTCCCAAAGCACTGAGATTATAGAAGTGCGCCACTTTGCCTGGCCCACTTGCTTCTTGAATGGGTGAGAGAACTGCTGAGTGACAGTTGGCATCACAGGAGCTGTATCTTACCCCCAACCTGGTTAGGCGAGACCTCTGATTGCTTCCTGGACACCTGGAGCGTGGCAGGAGGGCCCACACATGAGCTTTGCCATGTGTGTGAGCGTGTGCGTGTACGTGTGTGTGTGTGTGTCTGCTCCTACGGGGTAAGAACCGCTTTCACAGGCAAAGGCATTAAGTATGGACAAAAAAACAAAACTGGGGCTGAGAAACATTAGCACTGTTATGTAACAAACTCAAAGACAAAACACAGGGCAGTGGAGAATTCTAAACATGTGGAGAGGTCTGCGGAGCCACATGGCAGCCTGCTGGACCTGGAGCCACGCTTTGGCTGGCTCATCTGCTGTGTGTTTTCCCTAGCGAGTCCATATCTCAGGGGATTGAGGGTGCTCAGATTTTATACTTTGGCCTTAGCAATTAGAAAAACAGTTACAGCAGGATCCTCACGACATTTATGTTCAAAGATGTCATAACTTTATTTTGCTTACTGCTGATATATTACAGAAAATGAAAATGAAAACATAGCTAATATTGCATTAGATTGTGTATCAATCCATTTTGGTGAGAGAGATTTTATAAATTCAGTCTGTGTGCAAATGGAATTTGTTTTATTCATTAACACACACAATACAACTTACTATCTCACAAGAATACAGATTTCTGTTTTTTACTGACAGTTGTCTAAAATATTCTCATGAGAGGGGCTGGACTAGCGCTAACACTTTCTATACAAATTACTCCTAAGCAAAGTGTTGGAGTGTCTGAAGTGCTCTGTAGAAGCTGGGTCTGGAAATTTGTCCTAGAATCCTCTAGAATTTCTTTTCTTCTATTCAACTCTTTAGTAAACGTCCTGTTTCTCTAGTTTAGGGTGGGGGGGTGCACATGCTACTACTGAATAATTCTCACTTGTCCATAAGATACTGTACTAAATGGGAATTAGGCTTCTGAGGAAAGAAGCGAAATGATTTGGTGACTTTTGTCCCTAATTCCATGACAAATGACCCATGGCTTTCCTGAGGGGGCAGCACACGCAGCCGTAGGAAAGCTACAGATCAGAAATCTGTGCAGGAGAGGAACTGCCAACGGAAAGGACTCGTCAGCTGGCACCAACAGTTAGCAAAAGGCCCTGGAACAGGGGACACCCCGGTTCCATCAACCTGGGGAAGCAGCTGTCTGAGCCCAGCAGCCTGTGGTTGGAGCCACACACCGCCCAGAACCGCGTGGTGCTCTGGGTGGTAGCATTGTATACCCTGTGCCACATTTGCTGGCTGGCTGATTTTCAGCTTCAGCGCTTTCTTGGAAGTGATACTGTCACTTAGCCACATACCTCCCGTGACCCAGCAACGTGTACACATTGGAGGGAAGTGAGCGGCAGCAGATAACGGTGCTCAGCTAGCGGGAACTGCCTGGCCTTGCCCCACCTGCATAGCTCCCCCATGTCCGCTCCCCCGGGGGCCTTTGGCCTTGTCCTGCCTCTAAGACAAGGGCTAGGTCAGCCCACTCCTTGTCAGGGGCACTAGCTCTCTGGTCTTTCTGATGGAGGAATTCTGCCTTGTTTGTGGGAAGAGAATTCTGGATCAGAAAACTGGGCTTCAACACCCAGGGGTCCCGCTCTAAATTAAGGCCTCCTCCGGATCCCACTTGGCCTCAGCCTAAAAGCAAAACGGCTTCAGGGCGTATATTAATAAATAGCAGGGGCCGGGCGCGGTGGCTCACGCCTGTAATCCCAGCACTTTGGGACGCCGAGGCGGGCGGATCACGACGTCAGGATCAAGACCATCCTGGCTGACACGGTGAAACCCCGTCTCTACTAAACAAAATACAAAAAATCAGCCGGGCAAGGTGGCCGGCGCCTGTAGTCCCAGCTACCTGGGAATGTGGGGCAGGAGAATGGCGTGAACCCGGGAGGCGGAGCTTGCAGTGAGCCGAGATTGCACCACCGCACTCCAGCCTGGGCGACAGAGCGAGACTCTGTCTCAAAAAAGTAAATAAATAAATAAATAAATATTACACATCCATGCACACGCAATGCATACAGTATGTACCATGTGTGCCAGTCACTCTTGCAAGCACTTTACATATACTGACTCATTTAGTTCTCATTAAAAGGTCTGTAATTTAGTAGTATTGTTCTTGTTATGTATCCTTTCATTGGTAAGGAAACTGAGGCCAGAAAGATTAAGTAACTTGTCCAAGGTCACCCAACTAAGAGGTGGCAGAGCTGGGCTCAGGATTTATGGAATCTGTCTCCAGAGTCTATGCTCTTAGCTACTGCTCTATAAACGGTAGCTAAAATAATAGTGTCCTATGTTATCTAAGTAATAATAATATGTTCTTATTCAACTGAATATATACCTAGATATTTCTTAAAGTGAGTATAATCCCAGAACTTCCTTGACATCTCAAAAATACTGCTAGAAAGGTGATCCTGGAAATCACCTACTATGAAGGAATATTTACACTGGTGTTTCCTTTATTCTCAAAATTGTGTCTAGTGTGGAGGAAAGAACTTCACAGTGGGAGTCAGAAGACCTGGATTTATTTTCCAACTCCGTATTTCACCTGCCGTGGGTCCTTGAGCAAGTAATTTTGATGGTCTGGTCCCCTGCTTTTTCATCCATAAAATGAGATAATAATGTCACGGAATTGCAACGGTCAAAAAGATAAACTCTTTTGGAAACTATAAAGGCATACACACATGTAAGAGAGTATTAATCTCTTGATCCCAGATCTCTCTAAAATACTTAATCTGAGGGTTTTTGACTTCTATGTGTACACTGAAGAGTCCAGGCCGCAAAGAGTTTCCACCCAGCCTTCCTGAAAAGAGAAATAATAATGAACCTCGCAACGCCTATCACTGTAGTTTGTTGTATAAAATTATATTTAAGCAGACTATGTAATAAATGGTATAAAATTCTCAATCTAGAAAGCAGATTTAATCATGTTCAACCAAAGCTTTCATTATTAGGATAATGCCCAGCCCACACACTTTGGGAGGCTGAGATAGGAGGATCGTTTGAGCACAGGAGGTGGAGGCTGCAGTGAGCTATGATGGTGCCACTGCACTTCAGCCCGGGTGACAGCAAGACCCTGTCTCAAAAAAATAAAAAGGGAAAAAGGGCTCTGTGACTTTTATGATTAGGATAATGAAAGCTTTGGTTGAACATGATTGATCTAGGGTGACGGCTAAAGATCTCTGCGGAGTATCAGTGGTAATCCACAACTGAAACTGATGGTCCAGCTCTGATCACTGCTGTCTGGAGTCTGCGGAGTATCAGTGGTAATCCACAACTGAAACTGATGGTCCAGCTCTGATCACTGCTGTCTGGAGTCTGCGGAGTATCAGTGGTAATCCACAACTGAAACTGATGGTCCAGCTCTGATCACTGCTGTCCGGAGTCTGTTGAGTATCAGTGGTAATCCACAACTGAAACTGATGGTCCAGCTCTGATCACTGCTGTCCAGAGTCTGCGGAGTATCAGTAGTAATCCACAACTGAAACTGATGGTCCAGCTCTGATCACTGCTGTCCAGAGTCTGAAGCACATGAGGAGGAAAATGAAGTACACAACATTCCTTGTAGAATATTGCTTCAAGAAAGCTCAAGTTTTGGCAGTATGCCCTAGGTGGCACCTACTTGCACTGCCAAGTGGCTGCCATTTCTGCTGCTCTTCTCTAGGAAAACAGACAAACTCAAACAACAGGATGTGCATATGGCGTTCTTAGAGGGGTGGACACTAAGCAGCTCTCCCAGGCCTGAGGGTCCTCCCGGCCTGCCTCCCGTCGGCATGTTTCCTGAACAGCAGCTCCCTGACAACATGGGAAAGAGCTTGGGCTTTGCTATCAGGGAAAACTGGACTTGGGACATTCACTGGCTGTTACCTTGGGCAGGTTATCAAATGTTTCACACTTGTCTGTAAAATGAAGATAGTGATTTTAACATATAGCTAGGGTGTCTCCTAAATGTTAGATACCATGTTATTATTATTGCTTTATGATACAATATTACATGAAGTGCTGTCGGGGGGGACAGGTTCAGGGTTTCTATAAACTGGTGATGTTGGAACTGCTACAAAAGAACCATGAACCTTGAGTCTGACCTGTAAGAAAGCCTTCAGCAGGACCACAGCGGAGGCCAGAATGGACGAGGCTGAGAGGAAGGTGAAGTTTATGTTTGATGGCCCCTGAAATTGCCTCCCTACAAAGGGCTGTCTTTCCTCTCTCACAATTTAATGTCTTCTCACCCATAACTCGCCCCTATCTTCTCTTCTGTCTGCATTCTACACCCAGGAAAAATTTCAGGTCAGCACCTGGGGAGATAGTTTTTGACAGGTTAATCATTTGGAACTCTTCCAATTACATTCTGAAGACATTGCCAACTTCCTAAATGTAGGCCTGATGCCATGGTCCTCTGCTGAGGGTCATGTTCCTTCCAGAAGGTCTCAGCTGAGAGCCACAGCGTGGCAGTGCTGCCAGATACCTTATCTGGTGATAGTTGAGCTTTCTGGCACTGTTCTTTTGTGTTGAGTGGGGAAGTGGAGAGGAAGCTGATGAGGAGGAGGGTGGAGATGGGCTGGGTGATTCAAATTGTGCTCCCAGAAGCACAGAGCCTCATTTGAAATATTGATTCCTCTGTGGAGGTCACAGCCCAGCCTTTGTTGTGCTTTCAGAGGGGCTATTTATACATTTTGGTCTTTGTTTCGAGTCACCTCTTATACTGGTGACACTCCAGCTTTGCCGAAGTCGTGTTTAAAAAAGAAAGTAGTAATTATTGATTGCACACTCAAATGTGGGGATCAGAATGAATGCAGACAAAGGCTTGCAGAGAAGTATTCTACTCCCACTGCTTCAAGGGGAATCTGGACTCCTAAAGCAAGGTTCTTGAAATAAATAAGGGCTTCCATGCCCCTGAAATCCAGTAAGTCTATCTTGGGTTTTCAGGTCCATCTTCTGACTTTTGCACTGTGATGGTTTCATCTCCCCTCCTTCAGGTGGAATGAGACCAGGGTGAGGGTGAGGTGGGAGGGGAGCAGAGCTATGTAGACTGAAAGGTTTGATCTTAAAGGTAATCTGTCCTTCTCACACTCCTGAATTCTCTGCCTCCCTCCCATTCTTACCTTGGCAGTTTATTTACCAGAAGGCTGGAAGCATGTCAGAGCCTGGAGATGTCATGCCAGAGACTCAGGATGTGCCCAAGTGCTTTCAGCCTGCAGCTGAATGAGCAGTGCCAAGCAAGCCCAGCCTAAGACGCAGCAGAAGAACCAACCTTCCAAGCTGAGCCCTGATCAATCTTTGTAAACATAAGAATTAATGGAACGGTGGTCGCTTTTTAAAAAAATAGAGACGAGGTCTCACGATGTTACTAGGGCTAGCCTCAAGCCATCTTCCTGCCTTGGCCTCCCAAAGTACTGAGATGACAAGTGCGAGCCACCTTGACCAGTCAGTGGTTGCTTTAAGCTATAAAGTTAGATTGTTATGTAATAATAGATAACCAAAACATAACCCACTAGACTACTGTTAAGAAGATGAAACTATTACTCTTTTGGAAAGCAAAAAGGTAGTACTTACCACAATCTAGAAAGGTATTTATATCCTTGGAAGAAGAAATCGTGCCTACTCTAATATTATCCTAAAATTCAACAAGCAAAAAACCGCATGTATGAAAAGTGTTCGGTGTAGTACTATTTTTAAAAAACTTACAAATAGTATAATGGAGCAAAAATTAATTACAGGTTTACTAAATTATGATACATCCACACATGGGAATGTTAACATACTTTTTAAAATAAATCTCTCTTGTGCAACTAACTTGAAACCAGTGATTTAAAAAAAAAACATTTTAAATATTTATTTTTACTTTGAGAATACAGTTACATTTACTTTCCTGTCTTTCAATTTAGAATCAAACTTTTCTTCCAGAGTAAGTCTGCTGCCCGGACTTCCACATTATCTTGTGCATAATCACATCTATACATTACCATGGTATAAGAAATTAAAGACATTTGGGGACCTATATGAATGCAGAATCACCTAGATTCCCCTCCCCCCAGGCTTTTATAGTTATCTCACTATATCCATTTCAGTAGCCTTAATTTTCAGGGACTCATTGTTATTGAAATTTACAACTTAGTCTTTATAGTTTTTTTTGCACTCACATTTTAATGGTTTATGTACTATTTAATTAAATTTAGCAATTATAAAGTCAAATATGATGGCAAGAACAGGCATGGGGACAAACACAACAGACTTTTGGTTAGAAGACAGTCCAACAGGTGAAAGCAGAAGTGTGAGGGTGTGCACCAGAGCACAGCCTCCCGTCCTCCAGTGTCCCTGACTGGGGCCATCAGAGAGAATGTTCAGCAGAGGCCGTGGAGATTGGCAAGTACCATGAGTGGCTGGTTCAGTAGAAGGCAGTAAAAAGGCCTTCTTCTCTAAACGTGAACACTGTGTAATATAGAAGCGTTATGTTATAATGTTAAGTGAAGAAATACAAAATGCAAGAATGTGATGGCAAAAAGTAGTAAAAAAAAGAGTAACTTACTGAAATGTCTGGGGTTCTGTTTAGGGCCTGCTGCTGGCTGCACAGAAAGCCAATGACTGAGACGATTACTGCCAAAAAAAGAAGGCTTTAATTGGGTGCTGTAGGCAGGGAGACAGGAGGGAGATGGGAGATCAGTCTCAAATCCATCTCCCTGACCTACTAAAATTAGGAGTTTATGTAGCAGGGAAGAAATGTAACAATGTGTTAGAAAACAGGAACTAAGGAGGGGCCTAGCTCTCATTGTTTGGATGCAGTGATCTGCTGAGGCTGAGATCTTTGATACTTTTTGAGAAGCCTGAGGGTTCTTTCCTGAGGAAGGAACTAAGATAAAGCAAATGTAAATTTCAAGCTTTAAAGACCCACCCTGTCACACAGGCTGGAGTGCAATGGCAGGATCTTGGCTCAATGCAGCCTCCGGCCCCGGGGCTCAAGCTATCCTCTCACCTCAGCCTCCTGAGTAGCTGCGACCACAGGTACACATCACTACACCCAGCTAATTTTTTTTTTTTTTGTATTTTTAGTAGGGGTGGGGTCTTGCCATGTGGCCCAGGGTGGTCTCAAACTCTCGAACTCAAGAAATTCTCCCACCTCGGCCTCCCAAAGTGCTGGGATTACAGGTGTGAGCCACTGCACCCAGCCAGAAAGGTCCATTTCTATGTTTATCCAAAAGAACTGTCTCTGGGACGATTGGGTCGGTTTCATAACCATGTAGACAAAGACCGTGATGGTTTATCTCAGGAACCTAGTTCCAAAAACTGACAAAGAAAGGGCTGTTTCCTATGGCAATGCAAATACATGCTCAAACCTCAAGTATACCAGTTGTCTATGATAGATTCATTATATGGTTTAGGGCAGGGCTAAGAAAGAACTGTGTCCACCAATCCTATTAAAAACTTATGAAAATAACTTATAAAGGTTGTGGAAAGTACTTACTTAGTGAATCTTAATTTTGTGAAACATCAGTGATGTGGGATTTATTTATATAATTATGTCTGTAATCCCAGGGATGAGCTAAGTGAGTCTTATCCAGTTTTCTTTGTAAAATGGTAATGGTTTAGTAGCCCCTAAACAAAATCCACATCTTTCTGGCATTTAATCACTTGAAGTATTAATCACATAGATTATTCTTGTGATGCATTTGTACCTTTTTTGATAATTTTTGCACTTTTTGGTAGAGAAATTTAGTAGAGTTTAATTTATATTTACGATTAGAATAAGGGGTCATGTTGAAATTTACAGTCAAACTCTCTGGAGATATCAATTCATATAGATTGCAATATCAATTTCTTTAATGTTTGGATAAATTATGACCATTAAACTAAAAATGTAAATAAAATTCATTCACTATTCAGTTACTGAGCACCCACTATGTTTCAAATCCTGTTTTGGCAGCTGGGATTAGAAGAATGTTACCGGTCCTGCCTTCAAGAGTTAAACCAATTTGTACCAACCTTGAGTGCTGAGGCAAGTCTGAGTTCAGCTCGCCACCCCTTTCATTTTATGGATAAGGAAACTGAAGCGTAAAGAGAATGAGCAACTGTCCCAGTGTCAGGCCAGCTTGGATCTGCCAATTTCATTTTCGTTTCTGGCTTACATCCGTAACGAAAACTAGTTAACAAAATAGCATGGGGTTGATTTCCTACTATGTGACATTCTGGAAAAGGCAAACCTATGGAGGTAATAAAAGGATCAGTGGTTGCCTAGGGTTAGGGAGAAGGGAGGGATGAATTGGCAGAGCACAGGGAATTTTTACTGCAGTAATACTGTTCTGTAGGACACTCTAATGGTAGATACATATGTAATGTATTTGTCAGAACCCATAACGTGCAACACCAAGAGTGAACCCATGGTGCCGTGGCGGGCTGAAGGGCTCCTCAAGCACCGCCAGAGTGGACGCCGAGGCCGGAGGCCGGAGGCCGAGGAGGCGCTGAGAGTGAGGGCTGCTAGCACATTGTCACCTCTCAGTGGTATATGCCTGTGGACCAGATATTTAGAAGACTGAGGTGGGAGGATCACTTCAGTCCAGGAGGTCAAGGCTGTAGTGTAAGCTGTGATTGCACCACTGCACTTCAGCCTAGGTGACAGAACAAACCTGTCTCGAACAAGCAAAATAAAATGAGCAAAGGTTGCAGAAAAGAAGACAGGACAGTTGGCTTTAGAAGGAAGCCGGTCCTACTCTGGAATCACACAGATCTGAATTCAGCCCAGTAGCCACCCCTCCCGCTAACCAGGGACTGAGAGGGGTCTGTCTGGATACAGATTGTTCATCGCCCTCAGTGTGATGGAAGCACTGCAGGAGAACTGGAAAAGGGGGCCAGGAATCTTGTCTTCCAGTTTCTTCTCCTGGGAGGGGTAACAAAAAAAAAAAAGACCAGAAAAGGATGGGATTCTGTTTTTTGTTTTTTTTAAATAGTTGAATGGGTGACCTTTAAAGATGCTTAGAAGGTAGAACTTCCTCCAAAATAGCTTTATTTTAGCCTTGAAAACACATCCATTTCCTTAAATCCTTTGAGTTTTTTTTTTTTTTTTTTTTTTTTTTTTTTGAGACAGGGTCTCACTGTGTCATCCAGGTTGGAGTGCAGTGGTGTAGTCATGGCTCACTGCAGCCTTGATCTCCTGGGCTCAAGTGATCCTCCCACCTCAGCCTCCTGAGTAGCTGGGACCACAGGGTGTGCCACCATGACTGGCTAATTTTTTGCTTTTTGGAGAAATGAGGGTCTCCCTATGTTGTTCAGGCTGGTCTCTAACTGCTGGTCTCAAGTGATCCTCCCACCTCGGCCTCCCAAAGTGCTGGGATTACAGGTGTGAGCCATTGCCTCCTTTCTCTTTTTCATTGAGAATACCCGGTATGCTAGTACTAATGTGGAGATCCCATCGTCTCTGCAGCATGGCCAAGGCAGCTCCAGGGCCTCCCCTCTGCCTGGATTGCTTGGGACTCATCCAAGAGAGTCTCAAGAAAGAGCCATCTCCCCCATAAGGACTCTGGGTCCATGGGCACCCCCTATAAGCTCATGAGAACTGCAGACTCTCAGGCTCTGCAATCCCCAAACTACAAAGTCAGAATCTGAGCAGCTCTGCTGAGGACTCATCTGGGAGGCTGGCCCAGGCCTGTGCACTGCTCGTTGGGAGCAAAGCATGTCATCAAACCAAAGTGGGTCCATTTGCCTGTGTGCAACAGAAAGCCAAACACTGAGTCACTGGGTTTTGGCTGTGAGAAAGGTTTAGTGTGAGTTGACTGACAAGGAGACAGGGGGATATGCTCAAATCTGTCTCCCTGAGCTGGGTGCTGGGTTGGGTTTTTATAAGCACAAGGTAATGAGGTGTGATCTGATTGGATCTTGCAATGAGGTGATGCCAGGAGGCATGATCTGACTGGATCCTGCCATGGAATGTTTGCATCTTAACTCAATCCCAGCTCCTTAAGCACTTAGGTCCGCCAGTGGTTACATGCTTGGTTCATCTGAGCATGCTGAGATTATGTGATCTTCAACCTGGGTGCCCGCGGCAACTGAAAAACTCACAGGTTTGTTAAATAAAAGTTGAACCAGATTGGTTTGATGGGTTACCAGCAGAGGCCTTTGGGGGTTGGCTGGAGTAGCACCCCTCTGTGGTGTGCACCTGGAGCACCAATCCACATAGGCCCCAATGACGAGATAGCATTAACCACCAGCTGTCCCGGTAGCAACCCAGCCCCTGTGGATGGCCACATCATGGATGGGGAAGTCCCAGGTTTTAACCTGGGCTTCTTTATTGGAAACAACATGCTGCTTCTCAGATGGCTTTGTGGGCACAGAACCCAAGAGCTGAAACAATTCTTTCCCAAAAGAAGACACTGAGATTATTGGGTGGGAAGGAAGTTTTGGGCTTACTGAAGAAGTCTTGTCTGTATAAAATTACGACTACTTGTGACATCTGCTCTTCAGATTGTTTCCTGTGCTCTGTTTGTCAACTTGGAGCACCATAATGCACTTTGATTTATGGCTGCTGTCCTTAAAACCCACTTGAAAATAAGAACTCCCTCTTAACCTGTGCACAGAACTAGAACCCTGCCCCAATAACAGCTAATATTAATTTTTATTTAGTGCTTGCCAGTCATCTCACAGCTAGGGGAGATGGAAGTGGATTTAGCCAATATGCCTTAATGCTACCATTTATGTGTGTCTGGCACTGTGCTGGGTGGTTTCCGTTTTATTTCTCATCCTGAAGATAGCCCTGAAAGATATTGTTTATCTTGATTTTTCAGATGAGGAATCAGGGCTCAGAGATGTTAAATAGCTTGCCTGATGTCACAAAGCTAACGTGTGATTGGCTCAGATTTCTAAACCTGCCTCTGTCTGACCCCTGATGCTGTGTCCTTCCCACTGCCCCACACTGTCCTTCCAGCAAAGGTAGCATCCGTATGGAGGCAAGAATTGGGCTGCAATTTGCAGGAAGTGCAGATATGTCGGGGACAGACTCAGGGTATCAGAGCTGGAAAGAACGATTCAACTGAGGGTTTTCCAACTTCACGGTCCATGGACAACCATCTGGCTTGCATGGATAGTGTATGATCCCCTAGATTTGGGAATGTCTTGTGACCCCTTAGATCTGGGGGGTAGTGTGTGTCCCCCTGGATTTAGGGGTAGTGCATGACCTTCTGGATTTTTGTACAGATGAAGAAATAGGCCCAGATAGGTGACACGGCTTGCCAATGGCCAGAACCAGTTGGTGAAGGACTCAGACTCTCTGACTGTCTTCTTTCCTGAACCAAATACATCATTATCTCTTCCAGAGTATGGACAACTGGCTGTGACTGCTCACTTTTCTTCCAAATCTGGGATTTAAGGCCTGAGTTTTTCATGACCATGGCATTTGATACACAGATGTGTGGCTTCTGAAACAGAGGCCTCAGCTTTCCTGCTGCTTCATCTACTTCTGAGATAACAGACAGCCTTATGGGCACAGCGGCTCACACCTGTAATCCCAGCACTTTGGGAGGCCAAGGTGGGCGGATCACTTGAGGTCAGGAGTTCGGGACTAGCCTGGCCAACACGGTGAAACCCCGTCTCTACTAAAAAACAAACAAACAAACAAAAAAACACTAAAATCCGTTGAGTGTGGTGGTGTGCGCCTATAATCCCAGCTACTGCACTCCCGCCTGGGCCACAGAGTAAGACTGTCTCAAAAAAAGAGATAGCCTTATGGTTTCATTAGAATGGGGAAGGGCAGCAGGGCTGAAGGGAATTACCAAGACTCGACACACACTTGCTTATGAATCAGAACATTACACTTCTATAAGACCAAGTCTCATACATGCATTTTTAAGCTGGTACGGTATTTGCTTCCACTTACCTACTGCCTCACGGTCGGGGACCAGCCTCAGATACTCCCTAGCAAAAACATCCCGGGAGAGCGTGGCCACCATGACACACCTCAGGCCTTCGTTAGGGACACAGAGGACGAAGGGGGTGCTGCCTGGGAAGGGCCTCCTCCTCCTGGAACATAGACCCAAGAAGGTCTAGTGTAGCTCTGGAAGTCGAATCTCCCACACGCCCACGTCTGGGTACCCACCCACGACCAGCATCACTTAGTCACTTTTATATTTAAATCGCCAGAAGCCTGAAAACTGTGGAAGGGACTTGTCCCAGGTGATTCGCTGGGGATCCTAGCCACAGTCTTTTACTTTCATCCTCAAAGGCCTACGATGACAAACATAGCCAGGCTCAGCGCCAGCCCACCTGACAGGTAAAGACAGCCAACAGCATGCCGTGGAAGCTCAGATGCGCTAGTTTACGGAGCTCCAACCCTCTGCTGGGTTTGTGCAGGAGCCCATGGTTGAAGGAGGCAGCCTCCATTGGAACAAACACCAATCAGACATTGTGGAAAACAGAGAACATCCCCTGAGGAATTTTTCGGTGGGATTCCTACCTAAGGAGATGAATACGGTACGTCTCTCACCTGCACTCCTGAAAGCATCATGTCTGGTTCTGTTCTTCATGATCTAACCTTCCTTCTAATCTGTTCTCCACCTGGCAGCTAGGATGTTCTTTGTTTATAAAAATTGGTTAAAATACACATAACATAAAATTTACCATTTTAACCATTTTTAAGCTGAAGTTTAGCGGCATTAAGAACATTCACATTGTTGTGCAACCAGCACCATGATCCATCTCCAGAACTCCCTTCATCTTCTCAACTAGAAACTCTGTGCTCATTAAACGACCACTCCCCATTCCTGCCTTCCCCAGCCCCCAGCAACTACCATTCTATTTTCTGTCTCTAGGAACCTGACTGCTCCGGTACCTCACATTAAGTGGAATCTTGCAGTGTTTGTCCCTTTGTGACTGGCATAGCATGATGTTCTCAGAGTTCATTCAGTCATAGCATGTGACAGGATTTCCTTTGTTTTTAAGGCTAAATCATATTCCACATTTTGCGGATCTGTTCATCCATTGATGGACACTGGTTTTAGAATGTTCTTTGCAAAAACCCTTGTCTGATTGTATGACTGCAGGTAGCATGAGGCCCAAATCTTTAAAAAGCCATCAGGCTGTGCCCCCTTTGCAGGATCACCAGCCTCCCTTTGTCCCAGGCTCCCAGTGTTCTCTCATTCCTCTGGGGCCTGGGCCTGGGAATCTGCTCCCACAGCTCTTCACCTGGTTAACTGCCCATGCCAGTCCAATCCAAACTCAGGGCCCCATCCAAGTCAGGGGCACAACCTCCTGTCTCAGGACACCTCGTGCTTCCTCCCAGCACAGCTCAGACCCGTCATTACATATCTGGTTCTGTGGGGGACCCCTGTTCTGCCAGTGGACTCCAAACCCAATGTTTAGTTCACCCCTGGCAGTCCTGAATGCCTGGCAGCCAGGCGGTGCTCCACAGACGTGGATGTGATGAAAGAATAAATGTGGGGAGGAGCACGGAGCTGGAGCCTGGCTAAATTGATTGACTGACTGATTGACTGATTGATTGATTGACAGAGTCTTGCTCTCTCACCCAGGCTGGAGTGCAGTGGTGCAATCTTGGCTCATTGCAACCTCCAACTCCTGGGTTCAAGCAATTCTCCTGCCTCAGCCTCGCAAGTAGCTGGGACTACAGGCATGCACCACCATGCCCGGCTAATTTTTTAATTTTTAGTAGAGATGGGGTTTTGCCATGCTGGCCAGGCTGGTCTCGAACTCCTGACCTCAGGTGATCTGCCCACTTTGGCCTCCTGAAGTGCTGGGATTACAAGCATGAGTCACCACGCCTGGCCATTGCTTGAAGAATTTAGAGAATAAAGCACTAGCACAGCACCCAGCACAGAGTAGACGCTCAGCAACATCGCTGCCCTACTTTTCTGTTACCCTAAATCCAGTCTGAAGGGAGATACAGGTGAGAACACCCGTATCTCCCTGATTTGTATTGGCTCCCATAAGTACCCTGAATTGTATTGGCTCATACGTAAGGTGGCATTTCCCTTGGAGAGAACAATGGTGGAAAGGGTCTGGGGCCTTGGGTACCTTATAAGGTCCAGAAATCCTCCTGGCAAGACCTGAACACCCTACCTCAGCTCCGTCAGCATTACCACCACCTGACCTTGTCCTGAGCCTTACGCCCTGGTGTTAGCTGGGGATGCAGGAGCGCAGGCTTGGGGGCGGGGGTGAAATTCTCCCTAGAACTGGACAACTTGAATGACACCCAGCAGGAGAAAGCCTCAATATGATTGTGTAAGATCACAGTGGTTCAGGAATCCCTTTTTTCCTACACTGTCCTGAGCAGGCTGAGCTCAAAACCACGAACATCTGCACACATGGGCAGCTGGCCCTGTCACCGGCCTCCAGGGGCAGTGCCCCGGCTATTATTAGTCATTACTAGAGCAAACATTAGTACAAGTACACACACAATTGCAGAATCATTGCTCTGATTGGAAACACTGGTATGGAGCCTTGCAAGCGTTCACTGGGTGAGAGAGAAACTGTGAACTTGTTTGTCTAGGCTCAGACACTTCTTTCAGATCCAGGGCTGACAAAGGAAGGCCCATTATGTGAGGCACCTCCCCCAGGACTTCCTCTTCAAATATCAGCTGGGTCAGGTTCCTTCTATGCAAATCATTTGCGCATTTATCCTGCTTTTCATTAACATAATATCTCCTGAGCCATCACCCTAGCCTCTCTCCTTTAAACATTTCACAGTCAAACAGAGCTCAGCAGAAAGAGGGGTGATACCAGTGTCTTTGTTAAGGCGGTAGTCTTTATTTGTGTCTCCTCTGCCTGCTATATATTACTGTATGCCAGAGCCACATCCAGAATGCTTTTTCAGTGAAGAACAAAATAAAGCTGAGATGAACTCCTCCTGGATTCAGAAGCTCCCAAATCTCACGGGAGATGTGAATTCTACCTGTCTGCACACAGTACACAATACTATGCTTGTTATCTACGAGACGGGCCAGATACTAGGTAGAAACTAAGAATAAATTGTGCAGGGGATGTGCTTTTTGCAAAAGACACTTATTACTGAGGACATATCTCCTCTTGATGGAGAATTTATTCTGTGCAGGAGGGGACTGAAGTGGGGGTTTCTACACCACGCTCTCTTCTGGGAGAGCATGCTTCATTGCTTTGCCAGGTAGGGTCAGGTGGATGGGGTGAGCACCCCCACAGTCCTATTCTGCTACTGACCACTTCTTCCCAATGGCACTTTTTTACAGTTTCTCACTTGATTTGTGCACACAAACATACAAGGATGCTCTTTTGGGGTCTCTATATGGTGATGTCAGTGTGTTTCCAATTCATTCTTCCTTTGTACCAGTGCTTAGTAGGGAAACATAGGAGAGAACTCACTCGATATTGTTAAGCTGAATTAATTTCATGTTTTGGGGTGGGAGGTAGGGACTTTCTGACTTCAAAGAGCCTTTGATTCTTATGTGATACAACAGGGTACAGAACCATATTAACACAAAATCTTAGATATGAATACAACCAATCCTGACACACACACACACACACACACACACATGCTTGTGCATATATGCAATTTAAAAAAAGACTTCGGACTGGGCGCGGTGGCTCACGCCTGTAATCCCAGCACTTTGGGAGGCTGAGGAGGGCGGATCACGAGGTCAGGAGTTTGAGACCAGCCTGGCCAACAAGGTGAAACCCCATCTCTACTAAAAATACAAAAAATTAGCTGGGTGCAGTGGCATGCACCTGTAGTCCCAGCTACTTGGGAGGCTGAGGCAGGAGGATCACTTGAACCCAGGAAGTGGTGGTTGCAGTGAGCCAGGATCGTGCCATTGCACTCCAGCCTGGGTGACAGCGTGAAACTCCATATCAAAAAATAAAATAAAATAAAATAAAAAAAGACTTCATGCTGATACATCATAATGTTAAGCGAGCTGCTTCTGAGTGGCTGGGATTATCATTGGTTTTTAGCTTTTTTATTTTTTCTTTCAAAATGTCTATAGAAGCCTTTATTACTCTTATAATCAAAAAAGGTTACAAGAGTAATCTTTTATTTTGTTTCTTCCATAAAATAAAATCTTTTTTTTCCCTCTATAAAAATACCCTGGAAACTGATTCTTAAGTACTCATCAGACAAATTTTTCAGAGGAATTAATTAACAGCTAGCTTAGAGCAAGGCATTGGAGAAATAGAACATGACATTAATATTCCAGGTTGAGGGAAAGATAGAATGGTGACAGGGAAGAGGAGAGGAGCATGGTCATGCAGGATAATCTTACCAGTGCCATGGCTTTCTTACTGATACTTATCTGGGACACACACATACACACAGCCTCTTCTTCTAACACCTCCTAGGTCTGACACTCAGCCCTGAGCAGCCCTCAATCCAAGCAGTTGGAATACCTCCATGACCAGGCTTTAAGGCCACAATCAAACTAATATTGTCTTAGTCCATTTTGTGCTGCTATATCAGAATATCTAACACTGGGTAATTTATAAAGAACATAAACTTGTTTCTCACAGCTCTGGAGGCTGAGTAGTTCAAGATCAAGACACTGTCATCTGGCAAGGGCCTTCTTGCTGAGTCCTCACATGGCGAAAGATGGAAGGGCAAAAAAGAACCCACCTTCTGTCGTCAAGCCCTTTTAAAACAGTATTAATCTATCCGAAAGAACAGAGCCCTTGTGACCCAAATACCTCCCAAAACTGTTGCATAGGGATTAAGTTTCCAACATATGGATTTTGAGGGACACATTCAGATCATAGCAGATATTAGCAGTCAAGGTCCAACCAGGAAAATAAAAATATCTCCAAATATTTAAAATGAGGAAAATAAATTTAGGAATTGGCTTCATAAGTGAAGGAAGAGCTAAGAGGCCAACCAGGACCATGAAGCCACTGAGAGATTAGTACCAGCGGGAAGCCACTCCATACACTTGGACTGAGCGTTTCTGGTGAATCTAAGGCTAAAGAAACCACAGGGGTGGCGAGGAATGTCCTGACTTCTCCCTTCCTTCCTCTTGTCTTGTACCAGCACCTCCTACACCAAACTCGGCTGGCAGTAGCTGCCCCTGAAGCCCACTGTGATACCAAGCAGGGCAGAGGAGGGAGGAGTAGTAGGTCTGAGGGCAGGGAAGTCACAGACAGGACACCACCTATCACTGGGCTAAAGAGCCTGTGGGCTGCCAGCTTATCCCTTTCCCTCCCACCCTACCCCCCTGCCTGTTAGCAGGATGCACTTGAATCATGCCAGGTAATTTGTTGTTGTTGTTGTTGTTGTTTTCTGAGATGGAGTCTCGCTCTGTCACCCAGGCTGGAGTGCAGTGGCTCGATCTTGGCTCACTGCAAGCTCCGCCTCCTGGGTTCACGCCATTCTCCTGCCTCAACCTCCTGAGTAGCTGGGACTACAGGCGCCTGCCACCACGTCCGGCTAATTTTTTGTATTTTTAGTAGAGACGGGGTTTCACCGTGTTGGCCAGGATGGTCTGGATCTCCTGACCTTGTGATCCACCCACCTTGGCCTCCCAAAGTGCTGGGACTACAGACGTGAGCCACCGCGCCCGGCCCATGCCAGGTAATTTTTTCCTAGTCTAATATCACCTGCCAGATTACAAAGATGAAAATGTTACATTAGTTAAAAACGACTTTGTAGTCATTTTCATAAATGAGGGAACTGAAGTTTCAGAATGGCAGTCCCTCTCAGCCCTTGCTTGCTTCCAAGTTCCACCAAACTGAGAACAACTTCAGGGGCCAGAGAGGATCAGCTTTACAACTGAAGCTCATATGAAAACTGGGCTGCCCCTGGCAAGGTAGGAGCTTTCTTCTCCCTTTCCCAAAGTCACCAACTGAAAGTCCTGATTGCCAGCAGGTCGAGAAGCAGGAAGGGGAAGTCC